TCTGTTGGGATCTCATCGTTCTTCCATTGTTGTGCAAATACAATTCTGGCTGCAGTTAATACATGTAAAATCAAATATATAGTCCTTTTATCATATTTTTCCGGTAGGATGCCCAATTAAAAAAAATCTGGTTTCAAATCTATATACTGCTTTATCATTTTTTCCAATCAAGTATGTATTTTCATCCAATATTTTTTAGCTTTTGGGCATGTCCAGCACATATGGTAATGCAAACCAGGTATCTGATTGCACTTCCAATATTTAGCGGATCTATCTTTAAACATTTTTGCCAGTCTTGTTGGTGCAAAATGCAATCTATAGAACATTTTATACAAATTTTCTTTAAATGCAGTTGACACAGTCAGTTTAATATTTCTAGCCTACAATTTCTTCCATTTATCCAGTTCTATTGCATATCCAAAATTTTTAGCCCAAACTATCATTTCCTCTTTTTATTCATTTGCATTATTGTTATTTAAGTATTTTTACCCAAGGGTAAAAATACTCTTTGGCAGCAAAGAGGTTCTGTGAGTGGCTTACTAAAACCAGCAATAACATCTCAGACTAACAACAGCTCAAATAGTAGTAGTAGTAGTAGTAGTAGTAGTAGTAGTAGTAGTAGTAGTAATGGGTGGGAGAAATAAACAGAAAACTGCAAGCCAACTCAAGAATGTTTCTCATTATATGAATTCTTGTGAAAAGAAACAATTCCCAAACCACTGGTCTTTCTATAGGCTCAAGAAGGATTCCCATATTCTGGAAACTTCTCTATTACTTTCTGTTCCCAAAATGATGCAAAGCAAGCACCTTTGCAATGTTCAATCTATTAATTGAGTAGTTACAGTAATTTATTGTGTTAACTTCAGAGTTGTGTTAAACTTCAACCACTCTGAGACCTGGCATGATTTCATTCATCAGAACTCTTAGTACCACAGAGCAAGTCCTTTGGCTCAGACCAATCTTTGACCTTTTCTTTATTACCTTGGATTTCTCTCTGAAAGATTTTCTTGGCATTTGGAATTCATTCTCTTCCAGACCTTCGGACCAAAATTTCCAGTGGGGAGAACTTCAATAGGCATCAGAGGCAATTTAGTGAAATGTTTGATTACACAATATATGGCTAGTTTCATTTGCCTTGATTTTGTATGGCTTTAAAACCTAGGCTGCAGCTGCACCAGAATGAATGGAACTCAAGTGCATTACTCATCTTTCACTAGACATCATAATCTTCTTTTCATCAGAAAGGATATTGAAAAACAATGGCTTCAAAAAGTGAACTGGATAGGGAATATCAGACTAAGGATGAGGTCAAGAAGTTATAGTGAAAGTTTATAACTTTCTATTGTGTACTTAGGTTTGGATTCAAAGATATTGTAGATTCAGAGTCATCTCTATTAAAAAAAAAACAAATTTATGTATCCCTCCATATATTGGACCAGAACATTGTAGAAAAAAAAGAAACTCTCCTATTTAAACCACTTACTGTCCAATGAATGATACAAAAGGAAGCCAAAGATCAGGAAAAGACTGAATTTGTGCGCAGCTGCAGTATAGTTAAATAAGCATATGCATATGGCTGAAAAGCAAGAATGGGAGAAAGCATGGGGAGATAAGGGAATCGGTAGTCTCCACCCAGTAAAAACATTTGGAATTTATAGGGAAGGGGGAAAACAACTGAGGAGAGCAGGACATTGTACCAACTCAGAAAAGAAGTGCAACAAAGCCGCCTTTCAAGGAAGCAAGTTGGTTGTGGGAAAAGATTGCCAGACTAGGGATCATTCTCCATATGAAGTGAGAAACCTTAGCAAAGCTACTTATGGGATTATTACCATATGGCAGTTCTTTCCCCTTTTTCTGCCTAATTATGAAAGAGCTACAAATCAGATATTTTTTTTATCACCGAATTTATAAAGGCCAAAATTCTTATGCCAAAGGATTCTGCCCTTCAAAACTGCTCCATTAACTTTAGTCAGATAGTCAATAATGAGAGTGACTTGAAGACATAGAACAGCAACATCTACAGGTTCATTGATTCAGTCTTAAACCAGCAAACAACCGGTCCAAATACATTTGAATGTAGTGTACCCTTGGAAAGGATCCAATCCAAATCCTTACTTTCTTTATAAGCATATCTTTCAGTATGATCTGAGATGTAGCATTTGTCAAATGAAGATAAAATGCCAAAATGTACATGGAAATTATACATGATCAAATACATAATGCTAAGAATTTTGAGCAAATAGCTACTGTAAGATGTTGAATTTGAGCACGCCTGCTTTCCTTCTGAAATGGCAAGTTCTGCATCTCCCTGTCTGAAGGTACTAAATAGACCTGATCTTTGGCTTCCTTTTGTATCATTCATTGGACAGTAAGTGGTTTAAATAGGAGAGTTTCTTTTTTTTCTAAATTCTTATTTCTACAGAAAGATACTTTTTGTGTCTCTTCCTGCACCTCTTTTGACAAATGAAGTCATCAGAATTCCTGAAATAATTAAAAAAAGATGGTACAAAATCTGTTGTTCGGTTTCCAGAGGTGCTGTAGAAAGAAAGGCAACAGATTTTCCTAGAGTGAAAAAAATAATTTACCCATCCAGTTCGTTATTCCTACAGATACTGCATTAATAACAAGGAACCCTGAGATTTCTCCTTATGTAGGCTGGAGCACACCTGGAGGGAGGAGAAGCTGACTCATTGGATTTAAAATAACATTTTCCTTTCTTTCTGTAGAAATAAGAATTGATTGAAAGTACTTTTAAGGAGTTGAGAGAGAACTGTTCTTTGATAGCATCTAATGTACATATTAGATAAATAAAAAACTATTGGCTTTTTGATTGCGAGCAATTTCTTCTAGATTCAAAGGCTGATATTGTGAAGTTATGTAAATAATACAAATTATTTATGAACGACCTGCTCAGAGGCTATCAGAACCTAGTACATGCCATTTCATTAACTCCAAATTTCACATTATTTAACTCATGTTAGGATATATTTATGTGAATTTCTTCTGTGTCTTGCATTACAGGCACCCAAATTAAAACCAATAACAACTGGGTTCGTTGGAGATGGGGGCCAAATACACACCATTGGGACCATTTTGATATCTTCATCTTCTGAGAAAGGTGCTTCATCACCTCATTTAACACTTCCAACTGTCTTCTAAAACCAGAAAAGACAGGCCTCTACACAGCATTGTGCATACAGTACATGTTACATGTTGTACTTGCCAAGAGGATTGGCTTACCGAGGTTTCATTTGGGCAAATGATGCTTTAGAAAATATTAATGCCATAGTTTTGCTTCATATCGTTATTCCTCTACTTGAAGTACATGCTGAGAACTCCATGAAATTCAAAAACTAGGCAAGATTTCAGCATTAAACTGATTTGTAAGCTATTGATCACTAGGCAAATGTAATAAGCATATATCTAATATAATACATTAGATATTTAAGAACTACAGCAAGTAGAATATCTTCCAGTTAACAATAATAGTTTTGATGGTGACTTCCCTGAAAATATTTCATCTCTCTTTTTCTTTCTCTTATCTATATCTGGCTTAAATCTTATATGAGACCACCATCCCATCTCAGAAAATGTCAGCAACCTTACACTTTAAAATCTCATGCAAAAACAGTGCTTATGACATTGGTGATCTGATCTCAAGACCATTTTTAATTTTGCATAATTTTGCATGGCACCTAAGAATGACAGAAATGATGCATTATTGAGCCTTGGTATACTCTAATAAAAAGACCTGGAAATTCTCTGATTTGATGATTTGATTTGATTAATTTTTTGTGACTTGTTTTCTACTCATGAGGTGTTAGATAATGTTGTAACTTTTACAGCACTTTCCCCCCTACTTAGTTCTTCCCAAAGACTGACAAAGGTCTTCAACTTCCTTAATTCTGAAAGCTGACATCATGCCAGACAAATCTTTTTGCATTCTTTGACAAAGTGACAAAATTAGTGGGCCAGTGAAATGCTGTGGACATAATGTACTTGGACTTCAGTGAGGCGTTTGATAAAGTAGACCACAACCTACTACTTGATAAGAGAGAAAAATGCGGGCGACACAGCATCACCACCAGATGGATTTGTAACTGGCTGAGGAACCACATTCAACATATAGTCCTTAATGGAACTGCATCTACATGGAGGGAAGTATGCAGTGGGGGTACCCCAAAGTTCTGTCTTAAATTCTTCAATATCTTAGACTCTTCAATGATTTAGATGAGGGGATAGGGTGGTGGTGGCTCTTTTTCTTTTTACTAACATTTCAATGGGAGTAACTATCCCCTCTGCAAGAATCAGAAAGAATTGTAAAAAGCGGTTGTTGTTTTGCTCTTTGGGCAAAAACAGCCTGAGTTTCATACGCTATAATAATCTTTCTCTGTCCATGATATGCAAGTTTACACAATCCTGTCTTATACTGTGGTCTGCACAGAAACTCAAATATATAAACATAATGTGCAAAGAGAAGGAGAAAGGACTATTGCAGTCAAATGGTATCCAAAGAAATAGATTATTCTATGGTATCCAAAAAAAAAGGAATATAATGGCTTTTTGAACAGTGATGAACAAGCTAATGCAAATTTTATGGCATTCCTGTCTTTGACTCATACAATTTATAGATCTCTTAGAAAAAGGGTTTTTTTTTTCATTGTTCCCCTTGATTGCTTTTAAAATTAAATCTTACAATGAAAGAAATGACAGTATTTTGAATCTGATTTCTGTTTGCAAAGTTGTTTTACCTCTTCTCCATAGCAACTTCATGATTTTCGAATTCTCTATATTTTGTGTTTGCTGTTAAGTTTTAAGATCAAGACAGCAGCTTTAATGTTTGACAGTTTTAACCAAATTCATTTTCTTCATTTCCAATTCTGCATGGAAGCCTTAAGTAACAGCAATCTTAAAATCTTGATGCGGGTCTCTTTCAAACTTCTTTGCAGTTATAAAGTCTTACCCATATTTATATAGGATATTCAGTATAAGCTACTTGCCGTCAACACATGATGGTCTGTTCCGTGTTGTCCCAGCCACTTTCCCCGGTAGACAGGAACACTTTACCGTCTGTGATCTCTCCTCAATTCGATTCTTATTACAACATCTGTGTGCTGCTATAACTTCACATGTTCCTCCTTCTGAAAACAAAAGAAAAACATAATCACTATGATTGCTCTGGGTAGCAAAGCAACGATCTAAATACTTTGTTTTTGAATGGAGTTAAAAGATAGGATTTCAAAAATGTAATCTGTGCATAGAATACAATACAGTGCAATAAACTCACAGTAATCTGTGCTTATCCAAAAATACTGAATCTGGAAAGAGATGCAAAGAAAGTGAAAAAAAAATTATGTTATTGTGATGACCCAGGGTGGGATACAAAACAAACACAGTCACAGAAAACAGGTGAAGCCCCTTTTATTCCTTCACTTTGATTCCAAGCTCCGAATATTCTTGACGGAAGCCAAAAAACTCCCACACAAACAGTTACAAGAAGGGAAAAAGCAACACAAACCAGGCAAGATAAGGGCTTGAGGACATCCACAGATAACACACACTGGGAAGGATGCCAAACTCAGAGAGGAACCATAAACTAGAGATATTTCCACGCTTTTGTTTCCAGCATTCACCTGTACACAGGTCCGTATTCTTATTCAGTTGTCACAGCTGTAGCCCATGAAGAGGATCGAGGCCCTCTCCTTCCAAGTAGACCACGTCTCTCCCTTATCCTCTCCTCCCTGCATGTCCTAGGATGGATAGGGGATGGGCCTGGGTCCTCCTCTGACTACTCAGCCAGCCTCTGCCCTTCCCCAGCCTCCTCCACAATCACCGGAGCCACACTTCCACTCCCTGTCGGCTATTCCTCCTCTCCCCCAGGGTCAGTCTCCACCAGGGGCATGATAGTTACTATTTTCTCCAATCTTCTGAAGTATTAGGGAACTGCACAGTCATGCATGTATACATGTCTTCTATATCTGTAACCTAGCTATGAGCTGACTGTTTAATATCCAGGAAGATCACTGTTTTATCTTTTTAATATAAAGAGCCACGATGGAACGGTAGTTAGAATGCAGTATTGCAGATTGACTCTGCCCACTGCCAGGAGTTTGATCCTGACTAGCTGAAGGGTGACTGAGCCTTCCATCCTTCCAAGGTTGGTAAAATAAGAACCCAGATTGTTGGGGGCAATATGCTGACCCTCTAAGCCCCTTAGAGAGGGCTGTAAAGCACTACAAAGTGGTATATAAGTCTAAATACTATAAACCATGGTTTTCTGCCCATCCTTGCTTCCAAAGACAAATTGTGCTCATATACTATATGATCCTAACCCTATCCAAAAGGAGAGGAACCTGAATTTGAGATACATCTCCACCACTGCAAAAAAGTGAAGATATGAAAAAACTCAAATTTGCATACACTTACATGCTTCTATGACATTCTCAAAATCCTCATCTTGTAAACCTGGAGTTGCAGTGACATCAGAAACAAGTCGAAGAGCCCCCCGAATATGTATGAATATGTAAATATGTAAATAAATCTGCCAGAAGTTACATTGCAAAAAATTAGCAAATTATGTTATCTAAAGACATAAATACTAGCTGAAAATAAATTTCCAGTAAATTAATTAATGGACTGGATGACCCTGATTGTCAGCAATGTACTTTCTGAGATCCTACTGCTCCAGAGAACTGACAATTGAGCCCAAAATTTATGCTGCTCAGTGAAACATTTGTTAAATAAGTTTTGCCCCAGTTTATGACCTTTCTTGCCACAGTTGATAAATTGAAATAAGTTTATTGTCACTAATGGGCATACATTAAAATAAAATTTAGTGGCAAGTGAATCACCACCTTTCTTGCTATAGTTGTTAAGTGAATCACTGAAGTTGTTAAGTTAGTAATACGGGGGTTAAACGAATTTGGCTTCCCCATTTATTTTGCTTGTGAGAAGGTCCCAAAAGGGAATGATGTGATGCCAGGACACTGCAATTGTCATAAAGGTGAGTCAGTTCCCAAGTCTCTGAGTTTAGATCACATGACCGTGGGGATGCTGCAACAATCGTTAGTGTGAAAAATGGTCATAAGTCACTTTTTTCCGTGCCATTGTAACTTTGAACAGTCACTAAATGAACTGTTGAGGACTATCTGTACTGCTTCCTGAATGTTGCAGGACACTGACAGATGTGGTATGGCTAGTTAGAATCTGTATTGCTTATATGAATGAAACCACATACTACAGTATGAGCCGAGGTGGCGCAGTGGTTAGACTGCAGTACTGCAGGCTATTTCTGCTGACTGCCATCTTCCTGCAATTTGGCAGTTCAAATCTCACTGGCTCGAGGTTGACTCAGCCTTCCATCCTTCTGAAGTTGTTAAAATGAGGAACTAGATAGTTGGGGGCAATATGCTGACTCTGTAAACCACTTAGAGAAGGTTGGATAGCACTGTGAAGTGGTATATAAGTCTAAGTGCTATTGCTATTGCTACTACAGTATGCAAAAGTTTTATACTTCCAGTGCCTTAGGCAAATACCCTTCCTCCATAATTAATATATAGCTTGTCTGCACTTGGTGCCTTAAAACTGTGAGATTGTTGCATGTTTACATAATGGCCTCTTTAGCCTGAGAATCGCAGATTCCCACCTCACCCCCTCAGCTTTTGCAAATACATAGAACTGCAAGAAAAGCTGCATGAATTGGTTATTAGTCCAAGCAGACACTGGGTAAGGAAAACTATTGGTCAAAGTGTCCTATCAGCTGACAGAAACCCAAGACTTTGAGCACTAAGTGCTGAAGTCCATAATGCACATGTGATGCTTAAATGTTTTCATGTGCAGCTTTAAAAGCAAATCATGTAACCCAATGCCAAAATGAGCTCTACAAACATAATGTTGGAAAAGATGAAAAACTGAGCAAAATTGATGGATCTACCAGTTCCTTCCTGTGCTGGATATATTTCAAACTATGCAGATGTGATCAATATCTCTCTGGAAATATCATAGCAATTAAGCCATATCAGAATCTCTCTTGCAACTCCTTAATGTCACCTATGTCACAATGACCTTATTGGAGATGGGAGTGGATTTCCATTTTGATGTATTGTTCTTGTGATAAGCTGGCCTTTCGAAAAAGAAGGTGGAACCTGTCCAGCCACTTTAAATGTCATATCCTAAAACTGCTTGCTAAGAGTCAACCCCTAATGTTTGTAGAAAGCTTAATGTAATTTAAAATATTCAAACCTTCAGCTTTCAGGGTTGAGTCGATCAAAGCTGGTTAATGTCTGTTAAGGTAAAAGACTTTAGGTCATGCTCTCAGGGGGTTCAATATTGATGAGTTTGCAAACTGAAAGCAAGATAGACCAAGAGGTTAATATTTAATTCTTCTCATCAAGAACAGTTTCCTGTATGGCACAGAAACAGCTTTAGTTGTCTCTGACCCAACTCTTTCTGGGAGCTTTATCAAAGCCCATGGCATTCTACTCTATTTAAATCTCTTGTAGCAAAAATGCAGTGGGAAAGAATTAACATCTCCTGAGATCCAGGCTTTGAATTTTACAGAAAAATTGTATTTAAGACTTGTTCATCCATTCCCATCCATTGACATTAAAAGGAAGTTAATCATTATTGTTAGTATCAGAACCTTCATCCTTCAACCTTCATCTATAAGATCATCTGCCATTATACTTCTTAACTGTTATTTTTGCTGTTGCTCTCTTTTTCATAATATGGAAATAGGGAAAAGGGGGTGCAACAACTCAGTGGTTAAAATGCTGAGCTGGTCAAGTGGAAAGATGACAGCCTGGGTGTGAAATTTAGGCACTGTGCAACAGGTTGAGCTCCTGTTACTCACCCCAGCTTCTGTCTACCCAGCAGTTATAAAGTAGGCAAATGTGAATAGATAAACAGGTACTGCTTTGGGAGGAAGGTTCCTGCATTCCACATTTTCATGTTGGCCACATGATGGCAGAAATGTCTCTCAAACAACACAGGCTCCCTTGGCTGAGAATTAGAGATGAGCATTACCCCCATGAGTTGGGCTAGACAGGGGAACCTTTAAACCTTTACATAGGGAAATTTTTTCAGAGTATTGCAGTATAAATTCAGTGCCAGAAAAGTAAACACAGGTGGCTGAGGCTTCATTTAACTTCTTTATAAACACATAAAGTAAATTTTACAATACCAGTTGTAGATTTCTCCAACATGGAGCAAACTCAAACAGAAGCAGACATGTTACAGGTTCAGAGCAGAGCTCTAGTTTTCAGCAAGCAAGCAAGGGAGTTAGTTTCTCTTTCACTTTTGAGCTGAGCACAGAACAGAGATAAACCATGCCCAGATTCTCTCTTTTAAGTTTCAGCCCTCAGTCCAGCTCTCATTGGCTGACCTTGTTACTAAGCTCTATTCCAGATCATGAATATACTCTGATGAATATTTGTTGTTGTTTAATTGTTAAGTCATGTCTAACTCTTCGCAACTCCATGGACCATAGCATGCCAGGTCCTCCTGTTCTCCACTGTCTCCTGGTGTTTGCCCAAATTCATCCTCCCTGCATCGATGATACTATCAAACCATCTCATTCTCTGGTCTCCCCTTCTTCTCTTGCCTTTATCTTTCCTAACATCAGGATGTTTTCCAATCTATCCTATCTTCTCAATTTGGTAGCTAAGGTATTTCAGCTTCAGCTTCAGTATCTGTCCTTTCAAAGAACAGTCAAGGTTGATTTCTTTTAAGATTGACTGATTTGATCTCTTTGCAGTCCAAGGGACTCTCAAGAGAATTCTCCAACATCACAATCTGAAAGCATCAATTCTTTGGTGCTCAGCCTTCCTTATATAACTCTAACAGCCATACATTACTATTTGGAAAACCATAGCTTTAACTATATAGACCTTTGTTGGCAAGCTGATGTCTTTACTTTTCAATATGCTGTTTAGGTTTGCTACAGCTTTCCTTCCAAGGAGTAAGCATCTTAATTTCGTGGCTGAAGTCGCCATCTGCAGTAATCTTTAAGTTTAAGAAAAATAAAATCTGCCATAGCTTCCATTTCTTCCCCTTCTGTTCTGTAGGAACCCTTCAAAGCAGGAAGAGAAAACTTAGGAAACCAAACATTTTCATTCAACTTTGCTTCTAGGAATGTTTATAT